AAAGTTCTGAGCCTCAAGAGGATATAAAGATAGGATAGGCTACACAATAACATAGTGTGTCTTCTGTGACGATCCACCATCAGGGTAAATATAGCTCTTTAAAGCTACACAAAATATGTAAATGTTATTGAAATAAACAGACAGCCCACTTCCCTATTTTGCAGATTTTGGAAGGTGTGATAACAGTTGAAATTGTTGTCGTAAAGGCAAGAGCAACACACCACTAATCCAAATGTAGATTTTTTTTTTCTTTAAATGACACACTGTCTTTTTCTCTCACACACATATCTAGTTAATTTATAATTTATAAAATCTGTACTTTTAATGATTTGTGCTTTATTTTTAAAGTTTGTGGGTAAGAATCGTGTAATAAAAATCCCTTATTTTGGGGACGGATTCCGGGAAATCTCCCTTATTTTTAATATTCAATATTGACAGCTTTGCTTTGGTGGCGTTACGATGGGTGAGACCCAGGATGTTGGGCCTGTCACTTTTTCTATGATATCTTCATCTTCCAGTTTCTGTAACTGGAAAGGAACTCTGCGGTGTGGCTGGCATGTGGGCTGTATGTCTGAGTTTATATATAGTGAGTGACACTTGAAAGTCTTTCAGCTCAACATGACATCATGACTTTTGTGTAAACATAGACGCCACTTTCGAGTCAGGTGGCGTGTTATCTCTACGCATTTTGAGCTATCCGCGTGTATGCGTGTATGTCTACGCCATTACCGTCCGCGTCATTCCGCGTGTCTGTACACGCAGTCAAATCTCCAGTCATAAATGCCATTAACCCCAGTGACGGTTAAGTTTAGGGACGGGGTTGAGGTAAGTCATATATTTATATAACGTTAAGTCAACGTCGTTCATAAACATGCTGAAAGGCGATTATGCGTCTTGATAGCACGCCAAAAATGGAAATACGAATTGGCGTGGCATACACACGCTACTTCATGAGATCAGTCTGTTCAGCCTACCAATGCCATCGAACAGCTCGGGGTGGCTGTTCACAAGCTTATCTGCTACTGTGAGGTTCACTGAGGAAGGGCTGATAGAGTGTATAATTTTAATCAACCCTAATTCGTCAGCTGTCTGGAGAAGTAGCAGTGCTTTGCCTTCTGAGAATATAGTTACCAGTATGTATACGGTTATAAGGGTGCTCTGTCTCGTATGACCTTGTTATTTGTACACACTGTGACTATAAAAATCACAACATATAAATAGGAAAATGTTGGCGTTATTTTGTCACTTATTGGGAGAAGTATGCTAGGTGAAGCCATTTACATCCAGTCTTTGTACTAAGCTAGGCTAGCGGTGGGTGCGTCAGAGAGTTACAGCACGCACAGAGATGAAAATGGTAAGTATGGACTGGTCCAACTCTGGGGGATACAGTAAAACAAGCTAAAGTCCCAAAAAGTGGGCGAGTTCCTTTAACAAAAAATGTTTCTCTGGATAAAATAAAAAAGCATGTGTGAGACAGAATAAGGGTGAAAAATAAAACTTACATAAACTTAAATAAAACAGTAGATACTCATCTAGAGTCCATAGAGGAGATGCTGGATCTTATGCACAGCTGCACTACTGAACTTAAGCCAGCTCCTTGTTTCCTGTCCACCATTATTGGCCAAATTGATTAGTTCAGGTGTGCCTGACCTCAGTAGTCACGGCAACAATAATCAGACACACCTGAATTAATCAGTTTGCCCAATAATGGCAGACAGGACAGTGTCACAAGGAGTTGGCTTAAGTTCAGGAAGTAGTGCAGCTGTGCATAAAGGTCATTCTTGAGTGTTTAGGTTTCAGATCAGTCTTACCTAAGTTCAGAAGTACCTTTTGAATAAAATCTAAAGTGTTCTTCATTTACTTACTTTGGGTAGTTGAGATGCAGTGCATAGGTAAGTCCGAAGACAATGTACATGGCCTGGGGCATCCATCACAATGTTTCCCACTGAAGATGCAGGGTGGTGAAGGGACAGCGTGTGTGGAGTGATGTTTTCCTGTTCATGGCAGAGGATCCCCACTGGCACATCATTGTACGAACCTTCCTCATCATCAATGTCCTGAAAAAAGGAACAGGGCATGATCACATTAACATGACAACATAGTGCTACAAACACAGACATGCTGTATTTCCAGTTTTATAGCTGATTGTCTTATTTTGTTTACAAGTTCCAGATGGAGTCTGGAGATGATGTGGGGTACTTATTATTGTTTACTGTTTACATCATACACTGTAAAGTAAGGCTGTTGTTTCTAGTTCAGGGGAGAGAATTAAATTGTCATTAATCTAAATGTCTATTCTTGATAACAATTGAATTGCTACTAGTAAAAAAGTTCATTTTTGATATCTGAAAAAGTATTTCTGATATCAATATTATTTCAGATATATAAAATGGCTTTCTTACTAGAAACAATCACATTCATGATATCAGAAATAAACATTGTCACTAGTGAAAAATTGATATCAAAAATAAAGATTTTTACTAGTAAGAATTGTATTTCTGATATGTGAAGTTGGAATTTCAAATAGTAAGAAATAAATTATTGATATCAACAATTGATTTTTAATGGCAGCCTATGGTGACATTTCACTAGTGAACATACAATTACATAGCTATGTCAAGAATTATAGTTTTTACTAGTTGCAATTCATTTGTTGATATCAAGATTTATAATTTTAATAGTGAAAATGGAAATGTTGATATCAAGAATTATCATTGTTACTAGTGAAAATGTCATTCCTGATATCCAAAATTGTCATTGTTACTAGTAGAAATTTTATTCCTGATATCAATAATTGTCATTTTAACTAGTGAAAACTGAATTGTTGATCATTTCAAGAATTCATATCCTGGAAATGAATACAAGTTAAAACACCTTGGATAGTAGAGCAGTCTATTGTGTAACCGAGTAACTTAAACGTAGCCCAAACGACGCGGCCGACTCGAAGTGTAACTTACCCAAAGCGGACGGTCACGTCGGCGCAAAGCTCAATTTCTATGTCCGGGCGGACTCCATACTCGGTGTCACAAAATAGAATCCGATTTAATCCCGCTTTACCGGGAAGTTCGCTGGTCCGTGGTCCGTGATGCTTCACGTGTCATACAATTGCCGTTAATGCAACATAATTACCGTTACTGGCGCTAGCTAGCTAACGTTACCAGTGAACAGTTAGCTAAGAGAGTGTGGTACAGAGTTAGCTGGTTAGCTTCCTTGTCAATAACTAAGTTAGCCAAGTTATTTTCCCCCCCGTTTTATTAAAACTAAGTTAACTTACTATAGAAATGAAACTTGATATAAGTTACAGATATAACTTTAACGTTATATCTGATAGACTACTTTGAATTATATCAAAGTTTCATTTCTAGTGTTGTCCCCATAAAAAGATAGCCTATAATAAAATATTTGTAAATATGTAAGGGGTGTAAATCACTTTTGAGATATAACTTACAGCTAGCTAAGCTTACCTCAGCTAGGGACTGCAACCAGTGCAGTTTAATCAACTTACCGTTTTGCGTCTGAAATCAGTTCATTCACCGAAGGCTTCCACTTCCTTGCTAGAAAGTCAGTTGATGAAAATAAAGCTGAATTGTTTGTCTTGTTCTGTTTAAAAAGTTCAAAGTCATCAATACCACTCGTTCAACTCAAAACTTATAACAATTTTGTTTTTTGGCGGTTGCACGGATAACGTCAATGCGTTGCTAAGAGGCGGGGCAACTTGGGCAAGCATGACTTTAGTGTAAATGCAGACTGTCATGCTAATGAATAAAATACTTTAAAATATATTTGGTGTTTTTTTGTTTTTTTTTTACTAAACAACGCCAATCATACAAACGAATATACTTTAAAAAATATCTGTCATCAAGATAAATGCAGACTATCATGCTGATTAATAAAATACAAATAGCCTATATATCCATTTATAAAATAAATACAGACTACATTTTAAATGAATTGATCAAATGTACTATGTTAACATCATGGACACAACAACACCCAGAAATCAGCAAACTATGTTTATGGCTAAAAATTGTTAGCTATAGCCTAATATTCACTATGTCAATCAACGCTAATGCACTTTAAATGAGGTTCCATCAATTGTACGTTAACATCAGGGTCACAACAATAACACCAATTCAATTTCTCCAATTTCAATTTCTACAATTTCTTGTACACAATAACAAGAAATCACAAACTTACCTGTGACTATAAGACAATAAGATAGGTCATTAAAAAGTACAGTTTACTTAGAATTCATAATTAATGTAAATAAATGACACATGTTTAAGTACAAACTCAGTTTGTTTGAGTAGAAACTATACTGATTGGACTTAAAAACACAATTATAAGAAAGGACATGAAAAAGTTCAGCTTAATCAGAATTAACAAGTAATGTCAACAAATTAGACACATTTAAGTAATATGAACTCAATCTCTTTGAGTTGAATCAAAATTTGGGTTTACAGTGTAGGTTATGATACACATGACTATGATTATGAGTATGAGCAAAATCTGCGTGAAGAATTGTTTCGTCCTCAGGCGAAACTTCCGATTGCAGGGACTGGATTCCGCCAGCAAAAGTTCCCCGATCAACGGTAAATGTGACGCAGCTCATCAGCACATATTGGGAACAACACCACTTTTGCTACAGCACTAACGTGTGGTATTGCTCATTAAAGTCCCGTTTTGCGTTTACCACATGTTAATGTGTCTAACAGTGACAGCGCAATAGGCCTATGTTGAAATGTGTCCTATGATAAGTGTTACAAAACTACAGCATAACTGAGCATCCTAAACAGAATAGTGCGATACACTCTCACACACTGACAACTTAAACTTCAAAGTTAGTGCCATGACTTAATTATTTTTTAAAGACATTTCCTGAACCCCTGTGATGTTATCTTCCTGCCACAGCTTCCGGTCACACAATCCCGTTTAAGGTAACATTGTTTCAAAGTTTTATTTTTGTGTCATAGGCTTTTCCGCAACTTATTATTAATTACATGATTTATTTATTTGATACAGTATTAATAGATGATTATTAAAAGTAGCTTTCTTCCACTAGTTTAATAGATTTTCGCGAGATTTTGTAAGCAATGTTATAGCCTACATATTGAAAATTAAAGAACACATAATAGCAATTGCTATCATTGCTGTGTTTGTTTAACTGAGGGACTAAAACAGAAAACAGAGCAATATTAGTGTTGTAACGGTAAAATTTGAAACATCCTGTTTCTTTCAGTTATGGGTGTAACTACTGCGCCTTAACCTCAGCTGTTTTGTGGTGTGTGTGTTTTTAAACTGATTTGTTTAACAAAATCTAAGAATGTTAAAGCTTCAGTTACTTGATTTAAATAATGTTATAATATTAATTGTGTATTTTAATGCAGTTAAGTAATGCTCACTTGATTCAGCAGGGAGTGAGAGATTCTTACAGAAAGGTTTTTTTTTTTGAGAGAGAGAGAGAGGGAGAGAGAGAGAGAGAGCTTCTCATCGATTGGTCGGCCCTGCCTAGTCCTTAGAGATATAAACTGCAAGTGGCAAGAGAAACAGAGCCCATAACGGTATGAAGGGATAAGGGCAACAACACCTTAGAATAAAGGCAGATCCTTGTAATTGTCGGCAGCTGTTTGTTCTTTACTCCGTCCATGCAGATGATTTCCTCAGGATGTGTGTGGTCAGTTCACCTGACCTGCACTGTGCTTGTGTTTATCTCTCCGGTTCTTTTGGCTCCGATGTCGGACCAGTACTCCCGGGGTGTGGTAAGATGAGCCTTACTCCGCATTACTACAAGTTGAACTCTTTTTTTAAAAAAACAGAAAAAAACAACAACATTGTGCCATGTAGTGTTTGATGTTTTTTTTTTTTTATTTCATGTGCATATGTTAGTTTTGCATGTGTGTATTATCCCTTTGAGACAGATGTAAATAAATTATAGTCAGTGGAATTTCAGGGATTTTTCATAGAGAAGTGTGTTGGTGTCATTAGGGATTTCCACAACAGTAAAAAAGGATGAAAATCTTTTTTTTTTTTTTTTTTTTTTACAAATGATGAACAATGAAACCATTGACACCCAATCAGAATCAGTATGTTATTGTATGTTGGTGGACGGACGCTAATATAGTTACTGTTATAGTAATTGTTCTTATTGTGAACTAGCCTTTACACTTTAATCGAAAATTATCAAGCTGTATGCATGTGTATATTTATATTTAAGTTAAATGAACATTTAGTGTGATGTATCGTAGGACTGGTTGAGCCGGTACGGGTACCTGCCCCCTCCGGACCCCCGCACAGGGCAGCTGCAAACCAAAGAGGGCATTGAGAAGGCCATCAAAGAGATGCAGAGATTCGCTGGCCTCAAAGACACGGGCAGACTCGGTAAATGCAATGCGTGTGCCTCTCACTGAAAGTACTTCATCACATGCAGGAAATGGTCTAACGGCCTTGTTTCACAAATCTTTGAGAAGGCTTTTTCAGTGCCTTTTGTTTTTTCTTCATTTATTTGTTCTTTTTTTTTTTGTTCTAGATTTCCCTGCTTTTTTTTTTTGGAGATCAACTCTTTATTGTCTTTAGAAATAAAGATAAAACAAACAAGACAGGGAAGGGGGAGCAACAGACATGTCAAAAAATGAACAATATGAAGAGAGAACATTAAAAAATAATAACAACAAGAAATAAAAATAAATTAATAAATCGTTATACAATCATTCCTTTATATAATCCAATATTTTGGAAGAAAAACATTGCCATGCATCAATGGTACTAGGTTTAACCTTGTTGATTTACCTCCTTTTTTTTTTTAAATTAAATTAAATCGAAACACCATCCCAGCTAACAGAAATAGGTTCGAAAAATGTTTTGATAAAGTTCACATTAAGTTTCTGAATGTTCTCTGAATCCTCAAAACATCCCGTTTTAAAAACTTTTTTTGGTTCATTCTTGCTTATGTGAACGTTAAGGGAACATTCCATAAAGAGAACGCTACTTTTGAATGTTTGAGTAGTAGTAACATTTAAAAAAAAAACAAAAAAACATTATGCGAACATTCAACCAAATGTTTCAGGTAAAAACACTCCATGATGTTTAAATAATGTTTTTGTACTAACTTTCTGAGAACATTATTAAAGATCTGGGCCCGTATTCATTAAGAATCTTAATGCAAAGAGTAGCTCTTAGTGACAAAATTGTACTGTTCAACATCAAAACCCATGTAAAATAAAGCAGTATTTGAACTACAAAAAAAAAGTGACAAAATTCTAAGAAAATTCTTAGAAATGTGGGCGTTTACTATTAAAATTAAAGAAAAAATCCTAGTAAAGAAACAAAAGTAATTGAGAAAGTATCTTAACCCTTAAAAGAGGTCTTAAGATCTAAATTGTTAGGAGTACGGACGAGGACTTTTAAGAGGCTTAAGAGTTTCTTTAGCAGAGGAGAAAATGGCAGAAACACGAAGAGGAGAAGAAATGTGTTGCAGACAATAGATGACAGTGAGTTAATAAGACGTTGGCCTTAACAGTAAACACTGTCCCTCTGTCCAGTTAAATAGACATCCCAACAATCAGTAATTGGAAAGAGTGGAACAATTTTTATCATTCTAAAGCCAATCAAATATCTTATAGGAAATTAAAGGCACACTATGCAGGAATTCCTTTTTTATCAAACAATGACCCCTAGAGTCACTGTGGAGTACTTGTATTTAAAGGGAACCTATTATTCCCCTTTTTACAAGATGTAATATTAGTCTCGGTGTCCCCAGAATGTATTTGTGAAGTTTCAGCACAAAATACCCCACAGTTAATTTATTATAACCATTTGAAAATGTCATTTTTGGGGCGTGTTTTAAAAAGAGCTGTTTTGGTGTATACAACCTTAAATGTAAATGAGCTACATATCCCCGCCCTGCCTTTGGATGAGGGCGTCACTTGCATACATGTGGCGGTCGGTAAGCAAAATGGGTGAAAGTGAGAGACCCGCTGTCATTCAGCCGTACATGTTTGAGTCGGAATAAAATAGTCTCTGATCAGACCCAGATGTTGAAGAGACTTTGGAAGAATAAACACGAATGAGAATGGACCAGTACGTCTCGGGACGGTTATTTGATACATTTATGTTTATAGAGTTGTAATCGCGTCCCCTTTGAAATTATGGATGTGCAAGACACACACACACACAAACACTAACGTTGGCGCAATTTTTTGAAACTACATACACATACTGTGATAAAGTTTGCTACGGCCAAGCGAAATTACATCTATGTGAGGGACCTGTTGCGTCATGTTTACATTACTTGTCATACAGGCGCTTCTGTGGCAAATGTGAGAAGATGGCTAACTTACAGTACAAGAACATATATGCAGTTTTTAATACAATATCTTTAAAAATATATATATATATTTATAAACGTGTGGTTACACACTATACAAACAAGGTTTAAATTATACACACAGACATCCTACGACGACAACAACTTTAGACACATTTGTTGTTAAATTGGCTGACATCGACTGAAATGACTATTTGCTCAAAAATCATAAAATACACTTACTGTTACTTGTTGGATCGCAAACAGTAGACCACGATCCACACTTGAGGATTAACTTTGAAGCAAGATCTGCTTTGAATTGACCCTCGTTCACAAAACAGTCAGTCAAAAAATGATTCGCTCAAACATAAACTTATTTACGAAGAAAAGCCGCCACTTAACTTAAACTTCCAAAATATAATACATCCACTGTGTTTTCAGTGGCTCTGATGTCGGAAATAAGTGAAAACTACTATGTTTGTCATTATTACATCCCATCCCACAACAGAACACTTATGTTTCCAAGAGACATTACCGGCTGTCGTTGAAACAATGGAGGATGGTGTACAGATCACAGAGGGCGGGGTCTGTGCCACAACCACACTGTCAATCAAACCCCTTGCTCAATTCTACGTCACAAAGCGCTGAATCTTAGAACAGCTCGTTCTGAGACAGTGGATATGATTTATTGAGATTGTAAAAAAAAAAAAACACTTTGTGGATTTTTATCATTCTAGGGTGGTTTTCCAACACACATTTATGTTCAAACACCATGTAAAAGTGAATTTTACATAATAGGTGCCCTTTAAGCTAAAACTCCTATGCAAAAGTTTTTAAGATATAAAAGATAGTTTTCTGAGAGGATTCTTAGATTCTTTGTGAATATGGGCCCTGATGAATTTGAATGAACATTCTGGAATAACATTTGTTGATAACCTTGAGATAACCTTGCCACAACGTTAGCTAAACTTCTGAGAATGTTCCATAGCTAGCTAGTTTTCAATTCTTGATATCTGCAAGTGTAATCATGAGATTTAGAGTGACTATACCTCATGCTGTGGTTGGTGGGTTCAATAAATTTCCTCTAGAGATAGAACTATTTCATTGCCTCCTCCTCACATGGGGTTTTATTACATGTACCGTAATGGACTCTGTGTCTCTGAAGTCTATATATTGATCTGAGACCTTCTGTCCTGTGCTTCTCTAGACAGTGCCACCCTGAAACTGATGAGCACACCACGATGTTCATTGCCGGACATTATAGGGTTCGGGGACTTGCTGAAAAAGCGAAGGAGGAAAAGAAGATATGCCACTGTTGGACTCCGCTGGAAAAAGTCTGACCTCACATGGAGGTCTGCATCGCTAGATACACACATGTCCAGCTAAAAGAGAACGTTTTCAGAACACTGTAAAAGACGTTCTCAGTAATGTTCTCAAAATGCTTGCATAAAAACATTGTTCTTTGGGCCTGTTCACACAGAACTAAGTTTTCCTTTCCACTGCGCTCCTTTTCCAACACACGCGAAATGGACCGTCGCAGCTTCTTGCGCATGAAACGTCATTCTAAAAACATGGTTAAACTTTTTAAAAACTTGAGCTTTTTTCCGTCTGTTTTTTTACACAGAAGACGAATGCTTTAAAACAAGTGAAGTCACATTTATTTATACAAGACAAATTGTAAAAAGTTGCAAAAAATTGTATTCTTATTGTTTTGAAGCAGATCACGACACGTTAATAAACAGGAAAATAACAGTGTTAATATCGTACAATTCATAAATTATGAAACATGAAATTTAAGCTGTAAAGCAGCTCTACTGAAGATATTATTTTTAGATCAGTTCAGTTGTTTCAGCGTTTCGCGCAAGCTAAATTTAGTTCAACTTTTTAAAAAACGTGAGCTTTTTTCGGTCTCGCATTTTAAACAGCAAAAACACATTCTCTGTGAACAGACCCTTTTTAAAACGCTTTAAGTTCAACAAAGTTGAACTTTGTTCCAGAATGGTCAGAGAACATTCAAAAGTAACTTTTCCATAATGTTTGCCGGTTAAATATAAAAAACTGGACATTTTGTATGTTCAGAGAACATTTAGAATTAATGTTATCATAACTTGATGGGAAAATTAGCAAAAGGTTCTTAGAACATTTTTGTTAGCTGGATGGTCACTGTCAAGCATAATGACTTACAATAACCCTTTTAAATATGCAGTCACTAACTTATCTCGGTTTTTCCTACTAGCATCCAGAATTACCCATCTCTCCATCCATCCCTTGATCCCAATCATGTCCAATATATAATGACGTATGCCTTTAAAGCCTGGAGTGATGTCACCAACCTCAAGTTTCAAGCTGCTTCCTCGAGCGAGCAGAACACATCCGATATTAAGATCTCTTTCACCCGCTCGCTCCACGATGACGGATATCCATTTGATGGGAAGGGAGGGACACTTGCGCATGCCTTCTTCCCAGGGGAGTATGATCTTGCTGGAGATACGCATTTTGATGACGAGGAGAGCTGGACCTACGCAGGCAAGATACACAAGCATTACTAAATATTCTCTGACTGATTGATGAATAACAGTTTCAAAGCTGAATATTTGTGGATTAATCAAATTCAATGCATTTGCAAATGAGCTTAGTATACTTTTTTTTTGCTTTTAGGATATTTTCTGTCTGTTTTTTTCACTGAAGAAAAAGTCGAACCTAGTGAAGTCACATTTATTTATATATTACTTTATACAATGTAATATTTTGTATTTATATATTGTTTCAAAGCAGCTTTACGTGAATAAACAGGAAAATAACAGTTTATGTTTATGAAATTATGAAACAAATGACATTTAAGCTTGAAAAGCAGCTCTGCAGAAGATATCTTATTATTCAGTTTAGTTTATTTCAGTGTTGTTTCAGTTCAGTTCAAGTAAAGTTCATCAATAATGAAATGAGTTCAGCTAGCAGCTCCATGGTGTTGTTATTCAGCTAATTCAGTTGATTCATTTCAGACAGTTCAATAATGTTGTCGAAATTGCAAAGTTAGTGTCATTATTCAGCTTTAATCAGTTCAGATTTTGTTCTCAAGCAATAGTGTCAGTTGCTGAATACTAGCTAAATGAAGTTCATGACGTTTGAGCGGATGGGTGTATGGGTATTGCAACATCTTAGCTTACATCTTATGATCAAGCATTTTCTAAAGCATCCCATAATCCTGTTTTTGTTTTTCTCAATACATGTATTTCACAACTTTCAATCAAGAACTGCAAGCCAAATATGTCCACCTATGCCGTATGATTAAATAATCAAACAAAGCTTTAAACTGATGTAGCTATCTTTAAAAACGACTTTTCCCTCCCTAATTTCAAGTGTTACAACATTAAATTCTCCCAAATTTTGAGATGGTCTTCACTGCAGAACACGAAATCCAGGGGGAGGAGTGATCCCGATCCCTAACCCCACCCCTAATCCTACCGATCTCCACCCCCTGATCCCTAACCCCACACCTAATCCTACCGATCTTCACCCCTGATCCCTACCCCACACCTAATCCTACCGATCTTCACCCCCTGATCCCTAACCCCACACCTAATCCTACCGATCTTCACCCCCTGATCCCTAACCCCACCCCTAATCCTACCGATCTCCACCCCCTGATCCCTAACCCCACACCTAATCCTACCGATCTCCGCCCCCTGATCCTTAGCCCCACCCCTAATCCTACCGATCTCCACCCCCTGATCCCTAACCCCACACCTAATCCTACCGATCTTCACCCCCTGATCCCTAACCCCACACCTAATCCTACCGATCTTCACCCCCTGATCCCTAACCCCACACCTAATCCTACCGATCTTCACCCCCTGATCCCTAACCCCACCCCTAATCCTACCGATCTCCACCCCCTGATCCCTAACCCCACACCTAATCCTACCGATCTCCGCCCCCTGATCCTTAGCCCCACCCCTAATCCTACCGATCGCCGCCCCCTGATCCTTAGCCCCACACCTAATCCTACCGATCTACGCCCCCTGATACTTAGCCCCACCCCTAATCCTACTGATCTCCGCCCCCTGATCCTTAGCCCCACACCTAAGCCTACCCATCTCCGCCCCCTGATCCCTAACCCCACCTCTAATCCTACAATCTCTGCCCCTGATCCCTAACCCCACCCTTAATCCTACCCATCTCCACCCCCTGATCCCTAACACCACCCCTGATCCTACCCATCTCTGCCCCTTAGATATGGATTAAACTCCACCCCCTGATCCCTAACCCCACCCCTAATCCTACCCATCTCCGCCCCCTGATCCCTAACCCCACCCCTATTCCTTCCATCTCCGCCCTCCTGATCCCTAACCCCACGATCTCCGCCCCCTGATCCCTAACTCCACCCCTAATCCTACCCATCTCCACTCCCTGATCCCTAACCCCACCCCTAATCCTACCAATCTATACCCCTGATCCCTAACCCCACCCCTAATCCTACCAATCTATACCCCTGATCCCTAACCCCACCCCTAATCCTACCCATCTCCGCCCCCTGATCCCTAACCCCACCCCTAATCCTACCCATCTCCGCCCCTTAGATCTGGATCCAACTCCGCCCCCTGGATCTCGCGTACTGCAATGAGATGCTACTGCAAATTTTAGGGTTTATGAGTAGCCTAAAATGGCATACAGTATGTGTACTGTATAACTAAGAAGTATTGCTGTTCATGCCAAGGATTTTAGAAAACATTTGAAAACAGCTAACGTATCGTATTTTTAAAAAGGCGTGGAGGAAAAAATGTAACGTTAAAAAAGTAAGCATTGTCATTACCATCATGTTCTCTTTATTTTAGGATATCCTTTAGATTAGTTTTTCATGCTTTTAAGTAGTCAAAAGTGTCCTTCATTGACAAATCACCCACTTATAAAACCACTTATAAAATGATATTATGCATAAATGAGAATCTCCTCTATTCTGTCAATGTTTTCAGATAACAGGGGCACTGATTTGTTCTCGGTGGCTGTGCATGAATTTGGTCATGCCCTCGGTCTCTCTCATTCCTCCTCTTCTCCTTCCATCATGCGGCCATATTACCAGGGTGCTGTTGGAGATGATATTCCATCTTACACTCTTCCAGATGACGATCGCTATGCCATTCAGTCAATCTACGGTAGGAATATGCTCTTAATAAGCTTTGTGCACCTGCGCTGGAAGGGATTGTTCACGCAAAATTGAATATTGTGTCATAATTTGCTCATCTTGAGGTCTTTTAAAACCTATTTGCTGTTATTTTCTTTCTATGGAACACAAAAACAACACATCACAATTCTTTTCTCCTTATACAGCAGCTAACCATAAGGACAAAATCACAAAACATATCATAACACAATAGCTTATTGTAAAAAACAAAGTGATTTTCTTTTTTTGTTGTTTTCTTTAAATAAGAACATGTGCTAAGAATGTAAAATTAAATAAAATGTAACACTTTTTAATCTGTTAGCTGGTTTGAATTCATTATCTGTAAACTGATCTAAACTGATCTAACACAAAAATGAAAATTATTGTCATTAATTACTCACCCTCATGCCGTTCCAAACCTGTAAGACTTTCTTTTATCTTCAGAAAACAAATGAAGATCTTTTTGATGAAATCTGAGAGCTTTCTGCCCCTCCATTGATAGCTACGCAACTACCACTTTCAAGCCCCAGAAAGGTAATAAAGACATTATTAAAGTAATCCATGTGACTCCAGTGGTTTGAACTCAATATTATAAAGCAAAGGAGGTACTTTGTTTGCAAAACATTCATCTCCAACACGTGTTCACAAGAGCACAACGCATGCGTGTTGTGTTGATGAGAGAATGGCTGTTGTTGCGTGAACAAGCGTTGGAGATAAATATTTTTGTAAATAAAGTGGTAAATTATGTTTTTAATTTTAACTTTTTTTTGCTAAGAAAGTACTTCATAAAACCGTCACTTGGATTACTTTAATGATGTCTTTACTACCTTTCTGGGGCTTGAAAGTGGCAGTTGCTTAGGATGTCAATGGAAGGACAGAAAGCTCTAAGATTTCATCAAAAAGATCTTCATTTGTGTTTTGAAGATGAACTAAAGTCTTATGGTTTTGGAACGACATGAGGGTGAGTAATTAATTAATTTAATTTAATTTATCTGGAATTTCAATTTTTAGGTGAACTAGCCCTTTAAGCCAAGCTGACCTTATCTAAAGTTGTGGCTGTGGTTTTGGTTTGTTATTTGACAGGAATGAAGACAGGCTCACCAACACCATCACCAAATAAACCAACACCACCCTTACCCAAACCACCTACTCCACCCCGTCCCAAAGTACCATCACAGTGAGTCATGATAACCAAGAAACATGCAATAGTGTTCAAAAGTTAAAGGTCATTAAGAATTTTTTTTAAAAGAAGCATTAAATTGATCAAAAGAGACTGTTAAGGCTTCTAAAATAATCAGAGCGATTTCTGTTTCAAGTAAATGCTGTTCTTTTGAACTTTCTATTAATCAACTAATCAAAAATATTAAGCAGCACAACTGTTTTCAGCATTGCTAATGATCAGAAATGTTTCTTGAGCAGCAAATCATCATATTAGAATCATGTGACACTGAAATTCAGCTTTGCATCACAAGAATAAATGACGTTTAAAAACAGAGTGAAGTAGAAAAAGTTATTTTGAATTGCAAATATTTTACAGTATTAGAGTTTTAAAGTATTTTTTGGTCAAATAAATGCAGCCTTGATCAGCAGATGAGACTTATTTCAAAAACATTCAAAGCTCTTTCAGGCCCCAAACTTTTGAACAACAGTGCAGATACACTGCCATATCAGCTTCTAATGACATCTCCTGCACTCGATGAGAAGACGTTCAAATTAAAATCTCTGTTTGTCTAGACCGGATCCAACAGCCCAGAATCGTTGTGAGGGAGGTTTTGATGCGGTGGCAAACATCAGAGGAGATGTTTTCTTTTTCAAAGGTACAATCTATGCTGTCTAAAATAGCATTTTTTAGAATTGTACAGATTTTGCCTAGCTTAAAAGATTATAATAAAGCTGTTACATGTATTTTATTCATTATATGAGTTCATTTATTTTTGTTTGATTTCTTCTGCTTCGGCCAGGTCCATATTTCTGGCGAATCCAGCGGTCTGGATCTCTCATGTCTTTCCAACCCGCTCTCATTAAAAACTTCTGGATTGGTCTTCCTCCTGGCACTGACAAGATAGATGCGGTTTATGAAAGAAAGCCGGACAGCACAATCGTCTTCTTCATAGGTTAGTTTCTTTTAATTCATTTGGGCGCACAATGGAAGAACAAATACAAAGTTCTGTAATGAAACTCGAGATGCCGCAGGCTAATAGGTTCTTAAAGGGACACTCCGTCAAAAAATGAAAATTCTGTCATTTACTCACCCTCAAGTTGTTGCAAATCTGTATACAAACAAAAAGGAAGATATTTTGAAGAACGATCGGGACCAAACAGTTGTGTGGCACAATTGACTTCCATAGTAGAAAAAAAAAAATTATATGCCAGTCCAGCCTGTTCTCATTCCAAGGCGTCATATACTGACACTTTTGACAATGCATATATATCCAACGCACATGGCACCCTTCAGTGTCAATATGAGACACAGATACATATGGGCCAGAAGGCGCCTCCTAGTGGTCTAACCCTAACACTACCCCAGACCAAAACCTACCCATAACTGAAGCATGTTATATTGACGTTAAAGGGTCAGTTCACCCAAAAATGAAAATTAAGTAATTAATTACTCACCCCCATGCTGTACCAACCCCGTAAGACCTTCGTTAGTCTTCGGAACACAAATGAAGATATTTTTGATTAAATTTAAGAGCTGTATAACTACCACATTGGCTCCTAGGGGACTGCCTCTTGACGGCCCAGAAAGTCAATGAAGAAAATGTTTAAATATCCCAAGTGACTACCGTGGCTCAACTATATGTTTATCAAGCGACGCGAATACTTTTTGTGCGAAAAAACAAACAAAAATAACGAGTTTATTCGACTATTTCTTTTCTTCCTTGTAGGCCAGAAACGAGACTTCCTTAGATTTCCACGACGCATGCGAGAGAATTGCGATCTGAAGTAGTGTAAGCTGGTGTAAGCAGTTTGCAATTCTCGCGCATGCGTCGTGGAAATCTAAGGAAGTCTCGTTCTGGCCTACAAGGAAGAAAAGAAATAGTCGAATAAACTCGTTATTTTTGTTTGTTTTTTCGCACAAACAGTATTCGCGTCGCTTGATAAACATATAGTTGAGCCACGGTAGTCACTTGGGATATTTAAACATTTTCTTCATTGACTTTCTGGGCCGTCAAGAGGCAGTCCCTTAGGCAGCCAATGTGGTAGTTATACAGCTCTCAAATTTAATCAAAAATATCTTCATTTGTGTTCCGAAGATGAACGAAGGTCGTACGGGGTTGGTACAGCATGGGGGTGAGTAATTAATGACTTAATTTTCATTTTTGGGTGAACTAACCCTTTAAAGGGTGCCATGTGCATTGGATTCATACGCATTGTCAAAAGCATCACTATATGATGCCCTAGGATGAGAATGCTCTGGGCAGTCAATGGTGCCACCAGATTGTGTTCAGCCAACCCGGTCTCATCCCAAATCGTCATATAACTGACGTTTTGGGACGTCTTTTGACCATACGTCAATATCCGCCTTTTTAGGGCCCCCTTAAACGTCAGTAGATGGCGATCCCGGGCCGTCATACAACTGACGCTTTACCTTTAACGTCAGTTAGGTGACGGGTTAGGTTTAGGGTTAAGTTTAGGTATGGGGTAGAGTTAGGATCCCATAACCTCATCTACCGACGTTTAAGGGGGCCCTAAAAAGGCGAATATTGACGTATGGTCAAAAGACGTCCCAAAACGTCAGTTATATGACGATTTGGGATGAGACCGGGTTGGCTGAACACAATCTGGTGGCACCATTGACTGCCCAGAGCATTCTCATCCTAGGGCATCATATAGTGATGCTTTTGACAATGCGTATGAATCCAATGCACATGGCACCCTTTAAAGGGTTAGTTCACCCAAAAATGAAAATTAAGTCATTAATTACTCACCCCCATGCTGTACCAACCCCGTACGACCTTCGTTCATCTTCGGAACACAAATGAAGATATTTTTGATTAAATTTGAGAGCTGTATAACTACCACATTGGCTGCCTAAGGGACTGCCTCTTGACGGCCCAGAAAGTCAATGAAGAAAATGTTTAAATATCCCAAGTGACTACCGTGGCTCAACTATATGTTTATCAAGCGACGCGAATACTTTTTGTGCGAAAAAACAAACAAAAATAACGAGTTTATTCGACTATTTCTTTTCTTCCTTGTAGGCCAGAACGAGACTTCCTTAGATTTCCACGACGCATGCGCGAGAATTGCAAACTGCTTACACCAGCTTACACTACTTCAGATCGCAATTCTCTCGCATGCGTCGTGGAAATCTAAGGAAGTCTCGTTTCTGGCCTACAAGGAAGAAAAGAAATAGTCGAATAAACTCGTTATTTTTGTTTGTTTTTTCGCACAAACAGTATTCGCGTCGCTTGATAAACATATAGTTGAGCCACGGTAGTCACTTGGGATATTTAAACATTTTCTTCATTGACTTTCTGGGCCGTCAAGAGGCAGTCCCTTAGGCAGCCAATGTGGTAGTTATACAGCTCTCAAATTTAATCAAAAATATCTTCATTTGTGTTCCGAAGACGAACGAAGGTCTTACGGGGTTGGTACAGCATGGGGGTGAGTAATTAATGACTTAATTTTCATTTTTGGGTGAACTAACCCTTTAAAGGGTGCCATGTGCATTGGATTCATACGCATTGTCAAAAGCATCACTATATGATGCCCTAGGATGAGAATGCTCTGGGCAGTCAATGGTGCCACCAGATTGTGTTCAGCCAACCCGGTCTCATCCCAAATCGTCATATAACTGACGTTTTGGGACGTCTTTTGACCATACGTCAATATCCGCCTTTTTAGGGCCCCCTTAAACGTCAGTAGATGGCGATCCCGGGCCGTCATACAACTGACGCTTTACCTTTAACGTCAGTTAGGTGACGGGTTAGGTTTAGGGTTAAGTTTAGGTATGGGGTAGAGTTAGGATCCCATAACCTCATCTACTGACGTTTAAGGGGGCCCTAAAAAGGCGGATATTGACGTATGGTCAAAAGACGTCCCAAAACGTCAGTTATATGACGATTTGGGATGAGACTGTGTTAGTTCAGCAGAAGAAGGAAACTCATATAGGTTTGCAACAACTTGAGTAAATGATGATAGAATTTTCATTTTTAGGTGGAATAACCCTTTAACTCAAACGCTTGCAATCGCATCATTCTCTATAGTGCGCAGCTGATTGGTTCCTGCTGAATCAGCAGCCATTGAACTCGCTGCTCTACTTTCACATTGGTTAGCATTTGCCTTAGCAGTGCTGCATGCTTTCATAAACCCTCCACCTTCCCCAGCTCCACCTGTATAGATCTGTTACGGGTAAATCTTGTACGCTATATTGTAGAGCAGCAGCATGTTTTACTTACTCACAACAGTGTGTCATGTATGTATTGGCCATAGCAAGTCCTAATTGTTACAGCAGCAGCGTAGCAGATCTATTCTGCCAACATCAACATGGTCATATCCATTACATGCCAAACACTCCAGAAATCAGTTTGAAAATGCTTGTTTTGGTTAGTGAATGCATGTAATTATTATTATTATTATTATTATTTTACATAGGCTCACAGTACTTGGTATTTAAAGACACCATGGCGATGTCTGGTTATCCACGTCCGTTGTCAGACTGGGGGCTAATCTCTCATAATGGAAAGGATGTGAAGAGGGTGGAGGCGGCCTTCACTTGGGCTCATAATGGAAAAACCTACATCTTCAGTGGTGGAGAGTTCTGGAGGTTCAATGAAGGCTCAGGGACTGAGAACCGTCATCAAGACGCAGATTATCCCAGAGACTCCTCCCTCTGGAAGGGTGTGCCCATTAACCCTGATGACATCATCACCTGGGGAGAGGGTAATGTAGAGAACGTCTATTTACCTCAAGTGCATTTTCAGCTTAGTATACAGAGGAAGCTTTTGTTATCATTCATATCATTCTGTAGTGGTCAGTGAGACTATGTTGGGATATTTCCATTAGCTTGTGGATAAATAAAAAAAAATGTATAAACTTCCGAAATAGACTTTCAGACTTTAACATTTTCCCTGAAAGTTTGAGAAAGAATAGTTTGCAAGAGCGCGATTGCTACTTGTTAGCAACTACTTGTTACTACTTGTTAGCAACCGCCTTTTACAAGATAAGTAAAAATTTTAAAAATTTCTAATGTATTTTATATCATAGAAAATATCTTGCGCTTGCTTGTGTTCACCACAGACTTTATTTTAGGCGTGTAACCAAAAATGTCTGATATCGCACACTATCTTGAGTAGGTACTTATTTTAAATAAGTAATTACTTCACGATCATGTGACCTACAAGCCTCAGTTGCGTCGCTTCACAGCCATTCATAAATCCTCTCCTGTGGCCTCATGGGATAGTGAAGAGTCCATCACATGCACACTTCAGAATCCCATTGGAAGAAGTTGTCACAGTGTCTGGTTGTGTTTCCCTGGCTTGTCACTAGAGGTCCTCGTTCTCACGGTTTCTTTCACATTTGATTTCAATTCCCAGCATTCTGTCTGTTACTTATCACTGTTCATTGCACTCAGCTGTTCCCTGTAATCATTGTACCCAGCTGTTCCTTGTTAGTTCTTTGTTAGATCTGTGTGTATATATTTCCTGTCTGTGTCAGTATGTGTTACGGAGTCGTTGTTATATGTCACCACCTTTGAGGTTTGTTGAGTTTGTTCTTGTTTGATTATTTGGATTTTAACACCGGCCTGGAAGACTGTGTGTGTGTTCGTGACAGAACGACTCCGTCACAAAACAATCCAGCGGTATGTTTTGCAACATCTCTTCCCCAGCCACCAAGCAGGAGAGAAGGGAGTTGTTTAAGGGGACCCGGTTGGTAAAGTTCCGCGGGACCCGTAGAGGTCGCAGTAGAGGAGGTGATAGAGAGATGTTTCATGTCCTGTCTGCCAAGCCTGAGACTGTTCACTTCCCATCTGCTCAGCAAAAGACTGTTCACGTCCCGTCTGTCCAGTCAGAGACGGACCAGGAGACACCCATTTTCTCAGGCGAGGGTATACTGAGCGACTATTTGAAGTGTTTGGCTCGGATCCTGGACATGCCTGTGTTCACTATTCCAGAGCCGGAGCCAGTGTCTGCTGTTCCAGAGGTGGAGCCAGAGCCAGTGCCTGTTCCAGTGCCGGAGCCAGTGTCTGTTTCTGTGTTTGTGTCGGTCCTCGTGGCTATTACTCTTCTAGTGGCTGTTCCTGAGCCGGTGTCTGCCGTTCGCGAGCCGGTGTCTGCCGTTCCAGAGCCGGAGCCAGTGCCTGCGGTTCCAGAGTCGGAGCCAGTGCCTGCGGTTCCAGAGTCGGAGCCAGTGCCTGCCGTTCCAGAGCCGGAGCCAGTGCCTGCCGTTCCAGAGCCGGAGCCAGTGCCTGCCGTTCCAGAGCCGGAGCCAGTGCCTGCCGTTCCAGAGCCGGAGCCAGTGCCTGCCGTTCCAGAGCCGGAGCCAGTGCCTGCCGTTTCAGAGCCGGAGCCAGTGCCTGCCGTTCCAGAGTCGGAGCCAGTGCCTTCGGTTCCAGAGTCGGAGCCAGTGCCTGCGGTTCCAGAGTCGGAGCCAGTGCCTGCGGTTCCAGAGTCGGAGCCAGTGCCCGCTGTTCCAGAGTCGGAGCCAGTGCCCGCTGTTCCAGAGTCGGAGCCAGTGCCCGCTGTTCCAGAGTCGGAGCCAGTGCCCGCTGTTCCAGAGTCGGAGCCAGTGCCCGCTGTTCCAGAGTCGGAGCCAGTGCCTGCTGTTCCAGAGTCGGAGCCAGTGCCTGCTGTTCCAGAGTCGGAGCCAGTGCCCGCTGTTCCAGAGTCGGAGCCAGTGCCCGCTGTTCCAGAGTCGGAGCCAGTGCCCGCTGTTCCAGAGTCGGAGCCAGTGCCCGCTGTTCCAGAGTCGGAGCCAGTGCCCGCTGTTCCAGAGTCGGAGCCAGTGCCCGCTGTTCCAGAGTCGGAGCCAGTGCCCGCTGTTCCAGAGTCGGAGCCAGTGCCCGCTGTTCCAGAGTCGGAGCCAGTGCCCGCTGTTCCAGAGTCGGAGCCAGTGCCCGCTGTTCCAGAGTCGGAGCCAGTGCCCGCTGTTCCAGAGCCGGAGCCAGTGCCCGCTGTTCCAGAGTCGGAGCCAGTGCCCGCTGTTCCAGAGTCGGAGCCAGTGCCCGCTGTTCCAGAGTCGGAGCCAGTGCCCGCTGTTCCAGAGTCGGAGCCAGTGCCCGCTGTTCCAGAGTCGGAGCCAGTGCCCGCTGTTCCAGAGTCGGAGCCAGTGCCCGCTGTTCCAGAGTCGGAGCCAGTGCCCGCTGTTCCAGAGTCGGAGCCAGTGCCTGCTGTTCCAGAGTCGGAGCCAGTGCCTGCTGTTCCAGAGTCGGAGCCAGTGCCCGCTGTTCCAGAGTCGGAGCCAGTGCCTGCTGTTCCAGAGCCGGAGCCAGTGCCCGCTGTTCCAGAGTCGGAGCCAGTGCCCGCTGTTCCAGAGTCGGAGCCAGTGCCCGCTGTTCCAGAGTCGGAGCCAGTGCCCGCTGTTCCAGAGTCGGAGCCAGTGCCTGCTGTTCCAGAGTCGCAGCCGGAGCCAGTGCCTGTGTCTGTTCCAGTGGCAGTGAGTAGATAGGTCATCTGGGGTTTTTTTGCCTTCTCTTTTATGAGTACTGTTCATACATGGGGAAGAATTTGATTTCTGATGCAGCCAATGACTTCAGGACAATGGAACCGGACGTGAAAAATGCCCCAAATATATGGTGATGGCGTCAGATGAGCAGAAACATATTAAGTATCTCTGGACATTAGTGTTCTGTGATATTGTATTATGCTGAAATATATGTCTATTTGTTAATGCGGGATTTGTGGACAAAATTAATATCTTTAAAATGTTAAAGATACTGTTTTATTTTAAAGTGATAATATAAAATGAGACCCTTGGAGTAAGATGCCATCTCAGAATTGGCACAGTTGGCTTAAAAATCAACCATGATTTTTAACATTGTCTTCACTCATTATTTGATTGAAAAAAGCCACAATTGGATTAAAAAAAAATTGTCCACAATCTTGGACACATTTTTATTCACAATACATTTGTTACAATGTACTATGGGATTGTCCTCTCCCTGAATGATTCATAGAAGGCAACTTTTTCCCATCATGCCTGTGATCCCTCTTCTTGCTTTGCTTCTTAGGAGATACTTATTTCTTCAAGAACAACTCGTACTGGGTGCTGAAGAGCGGAGAGTTGGACCAAGAGAGTGTCAGTCTCGGATCGACCGCAGTAGATTGGATGAAGTGTCCAGAGCCAACTCCAACCAAACCTCCAGACAACCCACGGCAAAAAGGAGACTGTTACTGCGGCATCAACGGAGCCTTACAGATGAGTGTTTCATCGTGGATACTGTCAGCCGTAGTCCTGCTTTATCCAGCTGTCTTCATATAGGCCTCAACGCGCAATAACTCATCAGCCTTATTTTACATGGACTGTCTCAAAGCACTTAAAGTGATATCAAATATACAAATATTAATTAAAGGGATACTCCACTGTTTTTTCTTTTCACATTAAACTATGTTATTACCTTAACTAAGATGAGTTGATACATGCCTCTGTCGTCTCAGTGCGTGCACTCAATCACTCTGGCACGAGAGACACTTTGATAGCACTTAACTAGCCCAGTTCATTGAATAGGGGCCAAGCAGAGAAGCGACCAAACACCTTCACGTTTTCCCTATTTAAATACAGTTACACGAGTAGAGTAACTCGGCCTAGAATGTTGACACAAAATAAAACGTTGTGCTTTTCTAAGCGTGTAAAGTGGATAATAATAATGTATAGTGGAATACCACAGTAAGTGCTTGGGAGCACTTCGACTCGGTGTAGTAATATCATCACTCGTGAAAATTCCTCTCCTCCCTCTCACTCTCCGGAGTGATGATATTACTTTGCAGAGTCCATAGATATACACTACCGGTTAAAAGTTTTAGATCGGTAAGATTTTTTTATGTTTTTAAATGAAGTCACTTCTGCTCACCAAGGCTGCTTTATTTGATGAAAAAAAAAATGACAAACAGTAATATTGTGAAATATTATGACAATTTAAAATGACTGTTTTCTATTTTAATATATTTTAAAATGTAATTTGAAAGCTGAATTTGCTGATGCTGATTACAGATCACTTTTCAGTGTCACATGATCCTTCAGAAATCATTCTAATAAGCTGATTTTATGCTCAAAAATCAAATTATTATTTTCAATGTTGAAAACAGTCGTGTACCATTTTCCCACCCAAAATTCTATGATAAATAGAAAGTTCAAAATATTTATTTAAAATATAATGTTTTCTAACATTATAAATGTCTTTACTGTAACTTTTGATCAATTTAACTAATCCTTGATGAATAAAAGTATTTTCTAATTTCTCTCCCCCCCCCCCAAAAAAAAACAAAAAAAAAATTCTTACTGACCCCAAACTTTTGAATGGTAGTGATTAATGTTACAAAAGCTTTCCATTTCAGATCAATTCTGTTCTTTTAAACTTTCTATTCATCAAAGAATCCTGAAATAAAAATGTAAAAAAAAAAAAAAACTGTTTTCAACATAGATAATAATGATAAATGTTTCTTGAGCATCATATTATAATAATTTGATCATGTGACACTGAAGACTGGAGTAATGATGCTGTAAATTCAGCTTTGATCACAGGAATAAATTATATTTCACTATATATTCACATAGAAAATCGCTGTTTTAAATTGTAATAATATTTCACAACATTACTGTTTTTTTTTTTTTTTTTTTTTTTTAATCAAGTAATTTCAGCCTTGGTGAGCAGAAGAGACTTCTTTTAAAAACATAAAAAATCTTACCGGTAGTATACATGCGCCGAGTCGAAGTGCTCCCAAGCACTTGCTGTGGTATTCCGCCATACAATAAAGTTATTCACTTTACACATAGTTTAATCTGAAAAAAAAATATGTGGAGAATAGAACAGATTCACATGGTAAAAGACAAGGTTTGATCTATGCAGGTTTAACATACAAGTATCTTAAAATAGATTATTTTTAAGCTTTTTTTATGAGGTTCAAAGAATTCATTATTTATAGCTTTTGCATTGTCGACTACAGGGTAAAAATATAGAGTACGAAGATTTATCTAAATGAATTCATTTTTATCATGTAGGCAGATTGAGATATGCTGTATAGTCCGTGTGATCTCCAGCTGCAATGACAAACAGGATCCACTTGTGGGCGACACACAACGTGGCAGAGCTTTAATAGGTTATCTGTGTTATCTAAGCAGGGGTGTCAAGTTTAGTTCTTGGAGTGTCGCTGTCCTGCAGTTTAACTCCATCTCTAGTTAAACACACCTGGACCAGCCAATCAAGGTCTAAGGGATTACTAGAAACTCCCAGGCTGGGGTTTTGGAGCTAAACTCTGTCGGACAGTGGCTCTCAGGAGTGGAGTTTGACACATGTGGGGCCTCATTTATAAGACGTGTCACACATACACACATTTCAGAAATGATCATAAGGTCAAATGTAGATAACACACTTCTTTAAATAAGGCCCCTCATCTATGGCTTTGCTTAAATTCACAGGGCCTGGAATTTTGCTGGGACATTTTGATACAAGTTTATGGGTCAGAGGCATGATGCTTTTTTTTTGTCTAGATCTAAATATTTATTAAAACATTCATATAAATGCAATTCATAAAAGTAATGCAACTGTCCCGATATCACAATGAAGAGAAAGGGCTCATTGATTAAGAATGTCATTAATTAACTCATAAAAATAAGGTATTATTGTATTGTTTCTATGAAAAACAAAAACGCATTCTAAATTGAAAAACATTTGAAAAACACACAGAAAATGTGTCATGGTTTATTGAGTTTCTTAAAATATCAACAGTTTTTTTTGTTTTTTTTTTACTTTTTTATGACCGGGCAAGATACTGTAAGTGTGTTTTAAACAAGATATATCCTTTTTATTTTTTTATCTGGTATCACAACCCACCTCAATATCTTAAAGAGTCCAGATTTAATAATTGCAAATGACTCAAATGTTTGTATATACTTAATAAAATAATTTTGCAATCCGATTTAGTATTATTGAGATAATATTATAGGTTACAGTTTCTTTTGATGGTCCCCTTTAGACATTCGGTTGACTAACTAATATTCTAATGAGAGTTAATTGACACGCAGGAGTGACGTCACTTATAGTTCCACAGAACGTCTGAAGGGGACCATCAAAATAAAGTGAAACTATAGTTTAAATGTTTTTTTCATTGCTTTTTATTTCTGTATTTTCTGTTTTCATTTTAAATTGAAAGTTTTAGTAATTTTGTCGTTTTTATTATTGTTTTTAGAAAATAATTCTAAAAAATGTGTGTAAAATTTTTGTTCACTTTGAAATGGATTTTTGGTATGTTTTAGCTTATCTTAAGGGCATCCAAGATGTTGGTGTCTTTGTTTCCACAGTAGTTTCAATTTTGATATTTCTAGGTCAAACCGTTCTTGTCTGTCAGTCATATAATGGAGGTCTATGGTCACCATGCACAGAGAAGTCCAAATTAAACAGGATTTAATGACTCGTAAATGTAAGTACACATTGATGGCCTAAGACACGAAACGAGCGGTATTTATATCTTTTTTACCTCTTGTAACCACAGCCACAAAGCACCCTCGCCCTCAGATCACTTGGACGTGGCTGTGGTTACAAGAGGTAAAAACGATATAAATACTGTTTGTTTTCTCACACAAACCGCTCGTTTCGTGTCTTAGGCCATCAATGTGTACTTACATTTACGAGTCATTAAATCATGTTTAATTTGGACTTCTCTGCGCATGCTCTTTGAGGTGGTGACCATAGCCCTGACCACAGAACGGTTTGACCTAAAAATATAAAAACTGAAACTACTGCGGAAACAAAGACACCTACATCTTGGATGCCCTTGAGATAAGCTAAAACATACCAAAATTTCATTTCAAAGTGAACTATCCCTTTAATTTTAATTTTCTTTACTGTAACAAAGATGTTATGTTTTAGTTGTATTAAATGACCCTGATCAGGGATTGTTCTAATTATGAAGTTTGACAGGTGAGGGTTTCAATTGTGACTATCGTCAGACATAAGTCAATATAACTGGAATGTTCAGTTTATAGACACAGTTTAGGAGCTAGTGATCTGGAAAGACTAGTTATTACTAGTTACTTACACCTTAGGCAAAATTGAGAATTTTTTGTAGAAAATTTTGCATGCACAAAATAATTGGGTTTCTAAATGATACCAAAGCATCAAAAAAAAAAAAAAAAACATGGCAAAGGCGAGTTGAAACACGGATATGATGAGATTAAAAAAAGGTTGTTTAGCATTCTAGAAATATTTCTACCATAAAGTCAGAAATACCAGCTGACTGAAACTGTGTGTGTCCAGCTGGCTGAAGCTGTTTGAGTGTGTGTGTTTTCACTTTAATATTAGTTCTAGGTAATTTTTTTGTTAACAAACATATTGTTACTTTTTTTTTTAAAATAAGTCTAAACAGTATTCATTTTTATTAATTAGTTTTAATTTATTTAAATTGTTGCCATGGCAACTATCTGAAATTATATAAGTAATTATTACGGTATGTCATTATAATTATCAAAATGATTGTCAGTATTGTAACAGTAATGCAACTTGTATAACTGCTGTGATAAGATGATCTTCGGTTTGAAGGTTGATGGAAATGGTAAGTGCTAATATCACATTACTGAATGGCACTCTCTGCTCACAGAGAAAGAGTGATTCGATTGAGTATGAAGGAATTATTTTGAACAATAAACACGATCCACAAAGGGCCAAGTGCGGCAGTAGTTTACATCCAAATGTATGACACCCTTAAGCGTAACAGAACACTTTGTCCTTTTTTAACGCCTTTAGAATGGATCCGGATTCTTTAGTAGTCTGGGTTCAACAATCAGCAAACTTGAATTCCATGCCCCTTGGATTACATTTAAGATAAAAATTGCTTAATACACTTAATTTATTGTTGTAAACACTCACTTCTTGAATAAAAGGTTTGATGAATTTAACATCTTGAAGAAAATTCCATCTTTGTTCTAAAATCGAGACCTTTACAGTTTAATTAATAGGAAACAACTGAAAATTAGCTTGAATTTCAATCAAGGACATATTGGGACGAAACCTCACACAAAGAAAACCTCTGGGAAACGTGTAAAACAAGCTGTATTGTAATGCAACAGCGTTATACTGCACCTCTAAAACCATTTCCAGAACATATTTTACTCACACAATCAGCCTTAATGTTTCAGACTCATTCCTTGTATGTGGAATTTATACTTATCTTATTAAAGGGATAGTTCACTTTGAAATTAATTTTTGGTATGTGTTAGCTTACCTCAATGGCATTCAAGATGTAGGTGTCTTTTTTTCCACAGTATTTTCAATTTTGATATTTTTAGGTCAAACCGTTCTTGTCTGTCAGTCATATAATGGAGGTCTATGGTCACCACCTCAAAGTGCATGCACAGAGAAGTCCAAATTAAACATGATTTAATGACTCGTAAACGTAAGTACACATTGATG